CTGCATAAATGAGCAGCAAATACACCCAGCATTATCTTTCAGGGGAATCAGAATCAGACTGAGACTTCATCATATATGCTTTACCTCTGGGACACTGAGAGCTTAAACCAAGGCTTCATACCTATTAAAGTTGTACTATTAAACCTCAGAGACAGCATTAGATTCCTTAAGCCAATTCCTGCCACCCTCATCCTAGTCACTGAGTTTTTCAGGATTCCCAGCAGGAAGGGACAGGAGAATCTCCTCTCCTGAAGACAATGCTGGAATGTTATTTTTTCTTGAAAGTTAGGGCCCCTTCTGCTCCCTTGCAGACCTCAGCTCTGAGGAAATTGACAATGATTAGGCTCCCCTAGCTTACGAAATCTGAATGCCACTTGAACCTGACATACTGTTTGGTTTTTGGTCCCAATTGCATAATTTTTCAAAATCGAGTAGTTCTGTAGATCCTATTTCAACATTGAGCAATGGCTCTATTCTTGGGAATTGTATTTGGGGGGCAGAGGAGATGACTTAATTCTATTAGTTCTTGAGGAGGTACTAGTTAGAGACCTCACTGTTTCTTGAAGAAGCCTTGAAATGCACAATGTAAATATTACATTAACTCTGATGTAGCACTCTACATTTATGCCTTACGTGTGTGGAAATGGGTGCATAGAGGCTAACATTTTGGTGGCATTTCTGTCCCCTAAATGAAACAGATCAGCAAGTTCCTACAGGTTCGCAGACAGTCAGGGAGCCACTTGAAGATCACCTCACCACCATCCCCTGCTGCCCTGGTCACCAAGGCAGACCATGAGACAAGCTGAGTAGGCAGGTGAGGCTTTATCTCTGAGGAATTTGTAGACACATTACTTTTTCAACAAGCAGTTATTAAATACCTGCCTGCTACATACAGTACAGATCACCAGGGATAAAACACGGTTGGACGATTCTGGTCACCTTATTTATAAAAGGCTATTAATAACTTTATAATCAAAGACTGCTCCAGAGGCCAGGAAATGGCACAGTGGTAGGACGACTGGATGCATTTGGGAAAAGTCCTTAGTCTTCATCTGGGACTTCCCTAAGCATGCCAGTGAGCATGTCCATGATCCTGGCTGGCTGAAACTGGGATGGATTGTAGCATGAAGACCCTGTTAGGGATGCTGTCTCTGTCTCTTGTGGAAGAAATAAATTATTTTTTTTAAAAATAAGACTCCAAACAGTGAACTGTCTTTTTTTTCTTCCAGTGAATCCATTGTATCTGTAGTAGCACTATATCTAGTTTCATTTTAAAGTTGACAAGATGCCAGTACAACATAGAGAAAGAAGAATAAGTACTAGCAAGAGAAGTAACAGCCAACCACAGAAGCCTGACCTGAAGAGCAGCCATCTCGATAATGGAATACTTCGGATGGCCTTAGATTTAAAACCGGTCTTTGCTCCTTTAAGCAACTTTTCTTAGCTCTGCCTGTCTCTGTAAAATGGATGATTGATTACCAATAGAAATTTAATTATCAATTAATCAGTTACTATTGAATTGCCAGTACATTTCAACTATCCGCTACTCCTCAGAGTAATCTATAGTACTTTAGTGAAGAAAAGCTTCTAATTAAATCATGAAACAGTACTCATTAATATATCAAAATAAATGTCTAGACCTAAAACGTTTTATTAATTGCAAGAGTCAGTAGGAGTCAGTAGGTTTAGAATCTCTAAGATTCCCAATTTGCTAATTTATTGCTATTTGAAATGAAGAAATAAAATAAAATAAAGTGAAGAAATAGGTGGGCCAGTACTGAAGCCTAAGGGTAAGGGAGTCAGATCCCACATGGCTGACCCCAGTTCAACTCTCAGCCCTAGAAGCTTCGAAAAACACCTCAAGCACGTGCTTGTGTACCCTAAAGCCCAATAAGATGGAGAAATGGGGAAGAAGAGATTGGAGTATGTGTTTTCTTCTCCTCTCTCTGTCTCTGTCTCTCTCTAGAGAGTGTACATGCCCTCTGGCAGTTAAAAGAAAACAGAAGAAATGGTTGTGGTTGTAAAAAAATCGTAGAGCATTTGAGATGGTTATTACTTATAAAGGCTGATAAATGTAAGACATTTGCATTCTATAGGACAGATGCTTGATCTTAAAGAGTAAGATCATTAAATGGAAGTATGATTAAATTTTTCATTTGTTTTTAAATAGTAAATTGATTTGAAATATACTAGGATAAGGGCCAGTAAGCGGCATGGTGGTTAAAGGTGCTGGACTCCCATATGGCTGACCATGGCTCAAGTCCCGGCCCTGTCAGCTTGTTTTCTCTCTCTCTCTCTCTCTCTCTCTCTCTCTCTCTCTCAAAATTAAAAATAATAATGATAATAATAAATGAAATGAAATATAATGATTTTTAAAAATTTTAAAAATAAATATACCAGGATAATTTTCTGATTATTTTAATAGGGCAAAAATAAAGAATTTCTAACTTTTGAATCATTTCCTTGGACTTTTGGCTACATACAAAAATGTGTAAGAAAGAACTTTTTCTCCCTCTTCTTCCAAGGTAGACTTCATGTTCCTTTACGTCCTCCTGCTCACATTGTCTGCCTCACATTTACCAGTTCCCAGCTGTTGTATCAGGACAGTAAGGAGGAAAACGCCCTTATTTGTCCCTCATAAACTTTTAATTTCCCTTCTGTTTAAAAAAAAGTTGCTCTGATAATATTGGTTCATAACTCCACACTTAACCTCCCTTGTACTCATAATTAATTCAGTTACATTCATTCAATTAATATTTATTAAAAATCTGCTCTGTATGATGTATAATCTACTACTGACAATACCGTAGTGAATGAAGAGGATCCTTAATCACAAGGTGTCTCATCACAGCCACTTGAACGAAGTCTAGGATCTTATAAGCCCACAAGAAACATGGGGCCAGCAGATGGCATAGTGGTTATGTCACTGGACTCCCACATGGCTGACCGCAGTTCAAGTCTCAGAGCCAGTGATTTGAAAAATCACACTGGGCACGTGTGTGTGCATGCTTGCCCAAGATCCCGGGAGAAGAATGGAGGAGAAGGGATTGCAGCATGGTCATTCCCCTTAAGGGGGTGATTTATCACTTTACCTCTCACTGTCCCTGTATCTCTCTCTCTCTCTGGTAAGCACATGCACCCTAAGGTAAAAACCTCTTAAAGAGAAAAAAATAAAGAAAGAAACATTAAGTCGTAGTGCTTCTGTGACTGTTACTACTCTGCTCTGCCATGATGCATAGGTAATAGGTAGAAGACTACACAAGAAGCATTTGACCCAGATATTGGAGCAGGACAGGCCTCCTGATAGTAAGAAACTAAGATCTAGGTGTAGGAGTTAACAAGGTAAATAGAGATTGAAGGAGTGTTGCAGGCAGAGGAAATGCGGTATGCCCTTAACAGAAGGACACGTGACGTATTGGAGAACTGAAAGAAGGTGGGATTATTATAGCACAGAGCACAGATCTGCAGAAGTTGGGCAGGGAGCAGATGGCTGGAAGGCCAGGGAGGCCATGTTTAATATGTTGTCCTTTATCCTAAAAGCAATGGAGAAGCAATAAGTGTTTTAAATAGAGAGGGACATGACTATTTGTGTATTTTGTTTAATCATGCTACATTGTGGAGAACAGAATACCTGAAAAGGGTGACAGTAGATGTGGCAGTCCTGGGAGGGGATGGAGTGGCTGCAAAAGATTTTGGAGATGAAGATAGGAAAGGCCAGATTGTCCCGGACATATTTAGCAAGTGAAATTGATGGGAATTGGTGATGGACTGCTTATGGGGACTACAGGAGAGCAAGGGACCAAGAATTCGATTTCTGACTTGTGCACCTGGAGGAATGGGAGAGGAGAGGGATTCGTGCAGGGCTGTAGTATCTAAGATCAGGCAAGAGGAAAACTATGGCTTCTGCTTTGGTCATGTTGGTTGTGAGGTCTTTAAGATCTTTGAGTAGAGCTACAGGTGTTTGTGCCAGCCCAACAGTGGACCTCATAGCAGTAACTGAGATTGCTGGGAGAGTGTGACCAGTGAATGGAAAGTGGCCCTAGGATGCAGTCTTGAGAAACCTGCAAAGAAAACAAATGCTGCAATCTGAGAGGCAGAAGGAAACCCAGGAAACTGAAGTGTCACATACAAGGGAAGGATCTCCAGTGTTTTCCCTATGTTATTAAACAATATTTTAAATCTTTTCTTTCATGGTTGAACCTAGAGGATAGTTGCTGGATTGAGTGGTAACTGTTTGGCAGTAACGTGGTTACTGAGGCATTTGGCGTACAACAATTTTTATGTTTTTTGTGTCTTTCACTATAATGATGACAGAAACTTAAGTGGCATTCTCTATGTGCTAGGTTCTATTGTAAGAGATTTATGTAAACTAGACCATTGAGTCCTTACAACAACTCTCTAAGGAAGGTATTCTTTCTATTATTCTATTTTACAGATAGAGGGATGGAAACATAGAAAGATTGTAGGAATTATACAAAATAAGTAAGCATTAAGGACTGGGATCTGATGCCAGCTCTGGGCTGTACACTCTGCTACCCCCCCATGAATTATTTATTATTTGACACGCCCCACCACCTCTCTGCACACAAATGCGTAATGACACGCATGTTAAAATATAATCCCATAATGTGACTCTAACATTTATTATTATTCTTGAAATTCACCTCATCAAACTTGCTTGATAGAAGCATTGCCTTTATGTCAAGGACTGAGACATTAATTTTTTTAATTGCATCAGCCATGTTCCATCTTTATAGGCACATATTAGACCATGGTGCAAATTGCGATAGTAAGGTTTGCCGCCAGTTTTAGAATCCATGTATACACACAGTGCGTAGTGGGTTGGAACAGTTTCAGTCACTAGACATATTTATGCCTATCTGGGGCATGGTTATCCTGGTTCATTCCTCTCCAGGGTCTGAAAAGGCACACTAAAAAGTTTCTTACCAGCTTGTTCGCATCTGGACTCATATTAACTCAATGACCATATTTTATTCCAGACACTTCTGAGAAATTCAACAGGCTGTGAAGTACGCAGTGATGAATACCGAACAGAGTTTACCACAGCTTTGCCGCGCGTTGACTTATTCATGGGCCAATTCAAAGAAGTCCTCTTAACATCTATATCCACCTTCATTAAGGGAGACCTCACTATTGCTAATCTTGGGACCGCAGAGGGTCGCTTCATGCAGGTGAGTGCTTTCTGAGAGTGGCTGTGCCCATTTTGTCTGGTATTATGTAACAATTTTGTTTTGTTTTGCCATGAGGTATTTGCAAATGCTGTAAAGTACAAATCACAGTAGAAGCTAGAGACAAACTGAAAGCCAAACAATGACACTCGGTCCAATTTTTATGAAATGCATTGCCTATTTTTGTTAAGTTCATGAAAGTTTCTCTTTGAATGTGGTTGCTTTAATTTTCTTGTCTGAGTTTTTTTTTTTTCCATTCATAATTTTTATCACATGATCGGAAAATAAAATGAAACAATTAAAGCACTTCCAGGCGATGTTTTCCCATTTCAAGGGAAGCTACGGATCAAAGGAGAGCTATTGTGTGAACCGTGTGTCTCCCTGAGAAGAAACATTCATATCATTTAGAAATACTGGCAGGAGTTAGGAAGGGACATTATCATCAAAATCCCATTGTAATTCCAGCTCTCCTGATTCTACAAAATGGTAGGCTCAGACACAAAGAAGTTCAAATATTTTTAAAATTATTTTTAAAAAAGGATTTCATAATGCTTTTAATGGGTCGCAACAGAATTTCCATACAATAAAAGTTCATATTTCAGACTTGAAGCTACCGTGTTGTTTCCTAAATATGAGAATCATAGCACTTTGCACAAATTAAAATATCCTTATGTTGGATTTGTTTTACTACTTTCCTAGTTCTTGGTACTTTCAACATGAGTTCATTAGTAAGCCATCAATTAATGCAGAATGACAATGGCATCTATAGAGGGAAATGTTGAATTTCCACAAATACCAGAAATGTCTTTCAAAATGTGAGGCTTATTTCATAACAATCTGATATAGTTAACATCCTAATCAAACAATGACTTCTAGTAAACCCACTGGAGATAAGGAGATTTTTCCCTTGACTTGCCCATCTATACATTCTATATCTGTGTTCTTTTATAAAACACATTTTTAAAAATTACCACTTTCTTTGTAGTAGTATGGATTTTGGTCATGGCAATATTTTAAGAAACGTAAATCTTGTTTTTCTAGTACTAGTGGTCATGGTGGAATTTTTCTAGTCATAAACCATGTAAACACCAGAACCTTCCCGCTTATAACAATCATTCAGATCCTATTATCTAAATAGGAGTCGCCCCTCCTGCTATTGCTTCACAGTTAATTACACCTGTTGTCTCCTTCTTCCCCATTTCCCATCCCAGTGTGCTTATTTATTTATCTCATCCATCTTGACCATTTAGTTCTATCATAAACTTCTCAAAATCTGACAATAGGATATTCAGTCCCCTCCTATATAGGGGACTAATATTTGAAATGTGGTCATATCTATTATCCTTGTAAGATGTGTGTAATGTTATTGCTACTTTGTTTATATGTGTTTTTAATTTATAGTCACAGTATTCTATAGAATTCAAAAAAATTAGGAGAATGAGAGCTAGCTATTGAATTTCTAATGTCTTCTTTATATTGATTTGTTTCCCTTTTCCTTTCTTTCTGCATTTCTTTTTGTTAACTTCGTCAATCCAGTCTCTTATTAATAAGCTTGAGCTCTGATACTTTTTTAAAAAATTTTTTAAGAGGATTTTTGCTATAGGGCGCGTGCGCTCACCAGACAGAGAGAGAGAGAGAGAGAGAGACAGAGAGACAGAAAGCAAGAAATCACACCCCCCCTAGGGGGATGGCCATGCCACAATCCCTTCTCCTCCATTCTCCTCTCAGGATCTTCGGCATGTGCGCACACGTGCCTGGCATGAGTTTTAAGCCGCCGGGTCTGGGACATGAACCACGGTCGACTATGTGGAAGTCCAAGGACATAACCATTAGGGTAACTGCTGGTCCCAAGCTCTGATACTATTTAACATCAAAAGGTTCCTGGCCTATTTCCAGATTCTAAAGTTCTAAAAAACAAATCCCATTTTAAAATAGGTTATTTTATTCATTGAGTAAATTCTGTCATGTCCATAGAGTCTGCCACCCCAGAGATAGGTCATTCATTGGGGGTCTTCAAAAAGTTCATGGAAGAAGCATCATATGCAAAAACTATGCATAGGTCGCTGGACTCCCACATGGTTGACCGCAGTTCACATTCTGGACCCAGTGACTTAAAACTCACGCCGGGCGCGTGTGTGTGCCTGCCCAAGATCCTGAGAGGAGAACGGAGAAGAAGGAATTGCAGCATGGCCATTCCCCCTGGGGGGTTGATTTCTCACTTTCTGTTCTATCTCTCTGTCTCTTTCTGTCTGTCTGGTGAGCGCACGTGCCCTATAGCAAAAAAAAACCCTCCAAAAATAAATAAAATAAAAATTTTTTTAAAAAGCTATGCATAAACTTAAAAAATTTTTGCACCAAAAGAAACTCATTCTTTAAATACCCTTTCCAGGAACTTTTTGAAATGCCTTGGACAACAGTTTCATTACAACAGACATATATCGCAAACGTTTCATTCTTGTCTCCCAGCATTTTTTGTATAAAAGAAACTATAGAGTGACCATTAACTATGCATCCAAATAAAAGTTGATAATAAATAGATACTTACTTTGTAAAAAATACTGGAGTCTCTGATATATTTTTTTTAATCAGGTGGCTTTTAATTCATCAAATACGTGCTGGGAGCCTACTAACTTTGCTTTACTAGTCAAATGACTGAAGCAAAGGAAACAGTGACCCAGAACATGCATTTAAGGAACTCAAATGTTGGTAGATGAAACTAAAACATTAGCCTGCTAACAATAGGACACACAGACAAAGGGCTATTGGAATCCACAGAGGATCTGTTTCTCTGACACTTGCCCAAGAGAATTCCCTTCAGTTAAATTTTATGTAAATAAACCTAAAGCATTTGAAGGATCCAACAATCAACATCACTCCAGTCCAATGTGTTTACAGCAAATAAGGGAAGGGGAGGAGTCCGGAGTAAAGATACCAGGACCTTCCAGTATAATTTGCCAGAGCAGTAACTTCCTACCAAGTTGTGTAAATGTTTTGACTGTGTCACAGTGCTAAATCTGTGGCCAGCCCTAAGTTCTACAACTCGTTTTTAATAAATACTATAGCATTTCTGTTATAAAATAGAATGGACATCATTTTTTGTTTTTCTAAAGACAGCTGCCATACATGAAAAGGAACAGAAAAATGATTTTGCTTCCTTCCTACCCTGAAACCGAACAGCAAAGTTGCTTGGCACATTTTTTTCTCCCAAGAGTTTGCAGCTGTTTCTGCCCTTCCCATTGTACTTAGGTTCAGCTCTGGCTGGGAACACAAGCTACAGCCCCAGCTGTTGGGTGCAAAGTGAATCAGGTATTTCACAGTGGTTATTTGATTAGAAAGAATTATACTGTTTAGCTAACAATATTATGCGTAGGTTGGAGAAGACATTTTTGACATGTTCCTAACATTTCAACATATGTGACTTATCTCATACAGGTGCAGCTATGTCTAAATATACTGATGTGTACATTTATTTGAGCCTCTATATCTGTAGAGCCAGGTCAATATAGATATAGATTTCAAAAACAGTTTTTATTTATATGATCACTCTCTTGGGAAGCTTTGAAGTAAGATAACATGATCAGCAATGTTTGAAATAGTATAAGTAAACAGAATGTGCCTTTTGACAAATTGTTGGGGAGGGGACATAGTCAAGAACAAGACTTGGGAACATTAACACAGTGTGTGTGGCTACGTGGGAGAGGGAAGAGGGACTCTCATGAAGATCACAGGACTAATCACAGGGATTGCCTGCGTCTCTCCTTCTGAGCTCCTCGTCTAATCTACATCCAAAACAAAGCTTGCTTGATTTTTTTTTTAACAGCACTTGTATAAGGCCTTTAATCTCTAAATGCAAAGCATTGCTATTAAAATATTTGTGCATGACTGTCAGGCCAGGGAGAGTGAGTGGATCAGGGATGGGGGTTGGGGTGAGGAGGTCCTTTCAAGACTTGTTTCAAGTTCAACTTTGCAAACATTCACGAGAGAACAACGATGTGCACAGCCCTGTGCCTACTAACAGTGGCCACTGCCTGGGTCACTGCCAGGCAGTGCTGCCATCAGCCTCTTTGGCATCATCCTTCTCTCCACACCTCTTTCTTTTCCTGAATGATATTACTCCTCATCACCCTTTTCTTTTCTCTCTACTGAGCCAATTAGATCTTAAGTAAGAAACTTAACAAGGTAGGGATCATCTAGAAAGATGTCCTTTTTTCATGTCATTACTTATGACCATGACTTAAAGGATTATATTAGGAATCAGTGAACCTGAGAATAATGACTCACTTCCAGTAAGAAGAATCAATTTGTCTATTGACCTCTTGTCTTCAAATTCCTTTGGTTCCTGTGCAGTCATCATGGTGTGTCAGTGCTTTGTATTGAAAGCCAGTGGCATACACTGCATTTGGGATTATTGCTATTTTATTAGAGTATGCAGATGCAGATCATCAATTTGTCAGTGCTGCAAGCATCAGGCAGAGACAGAGCCAAATAAACAACACACACTGTATTTGTCTTTAGGGATTGCTAATTTATCTGTCTCCTTTATAAAATGCTCAGATAAGAATATTATATGCTTTATTTTTTAATGTGTACATTATTAATTTAGTTGTGTCCCTGAAGAATGTTAGCTTTCATATATTTCTTTAGAAGAAAATATGCTCGTGAGTTCTAAAATTGTATGTGTGTGAAAGAGAACTTATAAATAATAAGGTGATGGCCAGTTCATGCATTCTGAAGTGATGAATGCATGCTCTTGGTAGACCTTTTTAAAGTTTTTTCATTTATTTCTTCCAAAAGAGAGACAGACAGGTACTCCAACAGAGTCTTCCCTGAGTGACCCACCCCCCAGCCCCAGCCAGCCAAGGTCACAACACATGTGCTGTGTACCTGAAGTGCACAAGAAGACCCTGGGACACCAACTCGGGACCTTCTAATGTGGCTTCAGCATCACGGAGCATGCACACTGCTGCAACTCCACCGCTGGCCTCAAAGACTTATTTTGATAC